AAAAAGGCTCACTGCCAAGCAGTCTCAAGCCGTTGACTTGGTTGTTGAGCCGGCCTGCCAGCTCTAGACCAGCGTCGCCCTCGGCGGATGGGATGCCATGTAGACCCAGATACTGATTTGCCTGCCCCGATTCGGGCCGCAGGAGAGAGCCGTGCACTCCCCGTTCTGATCCGTAGGCAACAAGAAGGAACATTTAGAATCGGCCCCTTTTCCAGGCATGTCTGGACGTTGGGCCAGTATATATATATATGTATAGCAGCGTGTGTGCACGCACATGCGCGTGCATCTGAGTGTAGACAAATATTTTTGGGGGGTATTGTTGCTTTGAGCGCCAGAGGGTCCTTTAGCGCCCCAGGCGGAACGCGGCTTTCATCATTACGACTACTCTTGTTTCTCTTCTCGTAGCTGTCTTGCGTAGCCTACCCAAAGTTGTCACAAAGGAATCTAGGAAGCAGGCTGCTTAAGTACAGATGTTTACATATGCATATGGAAGAGGGCCTTAGTGATGAAGTGGGTGGTGGGTTGAGCTGCTGACCAACCACCAGCAAGATCAGCAATTCCAGGAGGCTTTCTGTTCCCTGGAGGAGTCCCAGCCACGGAAACTCATGGCAGTTCTGCTAAGTCCTCTAGGGTCTGTTGGAGCCAGGACCAACTCAGTGGCAGTGAGTCTGGAGCTTATAGACACACACACATTAAAAATACAGCAGCTCACCGAGTCAGTAACGATTCATAGACCTGATAGCTCAGGATAGAACTTCCCCTGTGGGTTTCTGAGACTGAAACTGTTTATGGGCCTAGAGAGCCCTGTCTTTTGCCCACAGCGCAGCTGCTGGTTTAGAACTCCTGACTTTGTGGTTAGTCGTCCAACAGATAAGCACTGTATCGCCAGGGGTCCTGCATACATATCGCACTTACGCCCTGTCAAACAGCTGTCCTAAGGGAGTTGGTTACAGGCAACTGGGTGAGGGACAGAGAAGAACTTGCCCTGGAGTTGGGGGTGGCGGGGGGTGGGGGTGGGAGTTGTTCTTGGGTGCTGATCTTTACAGAACAGGATCCCCACGTCTTTTTCCCGGGAGCTGTGGGGGGCAGGTAGGGGTTGGGGCTGGAAGCCCAGCGCTTCTCCATGGTGCTACTTGGGCTCTTTTCAGGTGAGCTGTCCCCTGCTGCTTTCGTGGCCATGGTAACAAGTGTTCACCCCTAATTAGCAGCCGAGGGCAACCCAGCTCTCTGGGTGAGTGATGGGTGAAAGCAGGC